CAGTCAATTCCTCTGAGAAGCTCTTAAATGATATCGTTTATATGAGGTAAATTCTGCCCCTCAGATTCTGTAGATACACGTTCTGTTTTTGCCGTTAATTAGTTACGGTTGGGAAAGTGTGGGCCGAACAGTGCCCACATTATGCAAGTATGTGGCTCCTTTTTTGCGTTTTAGTCAATATCAAAGAGAAACGGTGGGCACTGCTATATTAGATTTAGCTTACACTTGCACCTGCCATCTCAGCGCAGTTTTCGTTGCCACAACTGAGCTATAGAAGTATACAAACATGGCTATGTTAAATATATCAAAACCCATCTATCGCAGCCTACTCCGAGTTGCCTACTCCATCATGCCCTCTTTTGCCATCAACCACAGATATCAGACAGTCATTGTCGCTCTGTGGCATTTGTTTTACAGAGCACAGTTCACCTGTTTGCGCTCACACTCCTACTCAGGGTGCTTGTCATCCGTAATACAGGGGGATCCATCAGCGACGCTTTACGTCTGGGCACGTCCAAGCGCCAGATCAGGTGGGTTAAAGGACTGTGAAGGCGTGATGGGTGATTTTGTGCATTTATCATTTTATTCGGTTAAGCTGCAGCACACTGATCCTGTTGAATTGTTGTTAAACAACCACACACTGATCCTATGATTTGATTTGATCTTTTGTTCTGTTAAAATACTACACGCTTGCCTAATTGTTCCAGAATAAATTACTGTCTGTATTGATAACCATAGTTTAGACTTATATTCTCTAACAACTCCTCAGTATCAGTGCTGTGCTCACGATGTCTTGTCTTGCATACCCCCTATGCAGGTTACCGAAGTCATGCCTCCCACCAAGGGAGAACGAGGATGAGGACGTTAAGGAGGAGAGGGAGAGAGTGGCAAGGTTGGCCAGTGACACCACAGAACAGTACGCGCACACTCCTCAGGTATGCCTCGTGCCTTCAGTGTCAGTGACGGCACGTTTTCTTGTTTTAAAGCCTGATGCGTTTTTTCTTCGGTCGATGGTTCGGTTTCGGGAATTGTATTGCAGCTGTTACGTAGTATAGTCGCTTAATTAGTCAATTTTGGAGAATACCAAGCAGTAATCGTTTGTCACAGTGACACGCATTTCATGTGTAGTCTCGCTTTGCATGTGTAGTCCTGAAACAACCTTCATGTTACTGTCAGACTTTCTCACCAATGTTAGGGTTAGCACATCACAGAGTTAGAGTTCAGTCATAAGATTAGCGTACTATTGGAGATGAGAAAATGATGGTTGAGCGGAACCTGCACTATTATCTGCAACTAAAGATGCCACTTTTTAGCTCATCTGACGTAGTCAGATGTAGCTTGTAGAATCGCATGATCATCCGTCCGGCCGTCCGTGCGTCCGTCCGTCCGTCCGTGCGTCAACAGTTGGGCACAAATCTTAACCGCTCGACGTACGGTCACGATATTCGGGACGTGGAAGGGTAATCCGAAAACGAGTTGGTATGTCGAAGCTGGGGGTCAAAGGTCAAAGGTCAAGAGGTGTAAAAGAAGGGGAAACATTCCCTCCTTAACTTAAAGTATAGGGAGGAAATGCAGAATTGCGGCACAAATCTAAACGGCTCGACCTAGGCTCGTGATAGTCGGTGTATAGCATCATGGTAGGAAAAGC